CGATTGTCAAACTGCGATCTTTGCTGGAAAAAAAGATGTACCGTAGGTTTTTTTTTTTTTTTGTGTTGTTGTTGTTTTGACTGAGAAATTTCCTTGCGTCCCAAAAATGCATATTATTTGGAACTGTGCGTCTAGGACGCTGGACGCAGAGGTAATGAGATGACTGGCTACATGTGCTGAGTTTTTTTTTTCTCTGGCTCAAACCATCCTACCATTGAGAGAATGGTTGGAGTCTATCGTTTTTTTTCCCTCCTCTTCGTGACTGATTTCCTTTCATATCTCAGATATCGGTGTACTTAACAGAGACCCGCCAGGCTTCTCCTTCCATCCCCCCCATGTTGATTATTGCTGTCATGTCTATGTTCCTCTGAATGGGTTGTAACTGGGAAAAAATTTTTCTTGTGTGTTTGTTTTTTGGATACATGGCCAATAAATCCGATTCTGATTCTCATAACAGGTAGCAGCCCTCTCAGCAAGGTCAACCCCCCAGAAGACTTGCACCCCTGCAACCAAATCAACACCTAATTCAGAAAAAAGGCCCCAGAAGCCCATAATACAGGCAGCGGCTGTGCCACTTGAGTCCCAAAAGAAAACTGAAACTCCTGCAACCAACTCAACACCTGATTCAGTAACAAGACCCCAGAAACCCTCAAGACAGCCAGCGGTTGTGCCAACAGAGTCCCCATCTTCACAATCAGTGCTTCATAGCTCTCTGGAAACTGATGCTGTTGGCAATTTTGCCTCCAGTCATCAGAAAACACAGCTCTGTGCCAAGCCAACAACGTCCAGCCCTGCTGGCCCTCCCGCAAAGAAAACTGTTGGTGGTCCTGGTAAAGTATAATGCTGCTTATTAGGGCTGAATGATTTTTAGGAAAAACTGAAATTGCAATTTATTTATTTTTTTGGACAAATATCGCAATTTTGATTCAAATCGCGATTTGCTTCAATTGAAGCTCCGGTCTTCAATATTCACCATGTATAACATTTTGTCTGAATTTTGGGGGGGGCTTGGAACGGATTAGGGCATTTAGATGGAAAACGTGTCTCGACTTACATTTTCTTCCAGAACCAATTAATTTCATAGGTAGAGGCACCACTGTAATTGTGTACCATTATATAAAAAAACCCTAAATGTTCTAAATTTTCTACGAATGTCCATGAATGTGAGATTAGAGTAAAATATTTCTTTCAGCATTTTTGCCAGAGACTTAACTGCCCCAAACACAGGCTGAGGGCTTAGCAATATTGCCTGTAATTCATATCAGAATCAATTAAATCCCTTCACAGTAATATTGAGTGTGATGGTGTAAATATCATAATGGAATTATTTCTGAATGTTTTTAAAATGCGAAAGGCAATTATTTCTTAAGAGTAAGTCGATTTTTTTTCTTTTCCGACTTTCATTCTTCAAATTTTGCATTTTCATGGAAAGTGTTTTTTTTCCCCTTTATGTACCGTATTGGCCCGAATATAAGACGGTCCTGATTATAAGACGACCCCCTCTTTTTCAAGACTCAAGTTTGAAAAACGACTTTTTGAACACCAAATTAATTTTTAACACAGAAAATAATTACAGTACATCTGAAACAAATGATTATAACAATATATTTGAGAGAAAGAGCATGTTATTTTGCCTCATTCAAATCTAAAGTGCAATCACATTCGTAAATGAATGGCTTCTGATCTTTGAAATGTAAATTACATCATAACTTCTCCTCAGTTGCCGGTTAACCTGGCCGATCTTTGACCCACTTTTCCCCAGATTGTCGCTCTTCTATTATTTTCTTCTCTTTTCCTTCTTATCGCTATTTTTTATTTTTCTTCTTCGTGCTACCGCTAGTTTTATTTTTATTGTTCGTGACAGGGGTTCGCTTTGGCCTGGGGAGTCAAGTTCAGCATTCGCTTCAATGGTATCTGGCGCCATCTAGCGTCGTGAATGGGTATAATGTCTAGACCCCAAACATAAGACGACCCCCACTTTTTCAGTCTTATTTCAATACAAAAAACACCGTCTTATATTCGGGCCAATACGGTATTTCTATCATTTCAACAAATAAAAAGTATATAGTTCCTAGAGATACTTTTAATAATTTCCTGGGAGTAGCTAGTTGCTCTTGGCCTGAACACAGTTCCAGACAGATTTCTGTGAAAAGTGTACTGTCCACCTAAGCACTTATTCTGGGCTTTCCTGACTCTAGTTAAGATTAGCGATAAAGCATGAGCTTTTCCAGCTTCTCGTGTTCTCTTGTGTTGCTCGTGTTGTATGCTTAGCGACTCCACATCTCCCTTTAGTCGTAAATGCTACTCTGCGACGATCCGCACTGAGTTGCTCGTAGCTGCTGTCGTAGCTATTGGTCAAAGCAAAATATTTTGAGTTTATCATTTGCGGGCTGCCGGGAAATCATTTCGATCCAAAAACGATGAATCATTCAGCCCTTTTGCTTATTGTATAATTGTGAAACAAGTCACACAGTAGTGAACATTTTTACACCCGTTTTCACTTTGCCGTCGACCAAGCTTGAAATGTTTTTGTTACAAAGCTGTCGTGGTTGTGTTCAAGGTGCGCATCGGCACGATTGTTCGGAAGTGTTTACTTGATGCAAACCTGGACCCTTGATGCTATAATTTCCTAAATATGTAACAGACTGTTTTTATGTTCTATGGCCAAAAGGTGTACAGGTAAAGACTTTGCTGGACCGATTTGGAGACAGATGCCAGGAGCGCACAAACTCCCCAGCAGGGCGAAGCATTCAGCAACCCACAGTAAATCACTTGGCGACACCAAGCAATAATCTTGTGCAAAACAGGCTCATGGCTGCCCAAGCAACAAAAACGACGACAGCTGATTTCACCCAGAAACAAAAACTGGTAGGTAAACATGGTGTGTCGTCATAATTATCCTCCCAGGCTGATAAATCATCTGTCATCACAGCAGATTTCAAATTCACAATAATTTCTCTTTTTCAGGAGCGTGAGACTGAGCTGGCTCAGATTCGGAATCGGCCTCAGGTGAACAATATGTGGAAAATCATCGGTGCAGGATCAGAAACCAAGAAAACCACGGATCTCAAGGTTTTAACCACCGTTTTTAGTTCAGTGTGTCTGTGTGTGTTTGTATGTTTAACTGCCTGAATATACGAGAGTAGGCCCAAAATAACATGTCGTATTTTCCGCATTCTAAGGCGCACCAAAAAGCATTCCATTTTCTCAAAAACTGACAGTGCGCCTTATAATCAGATGCGCCTGATCTATGGATCAATATTCTGATTTCTTGGACGTAGTATATTAAATGTTCTGTAAAGAGCTTTGTCACAGCTGCACCGGTTGTGGAAGCTCTACATAAATAAAGCTATATTGTATTGTATTACCTTTAGCGTCGCTCCATCTGGTGGATGCTTAACGCAACCCCAGCCACTCGGAAATGAATTTATGAACAAATAATGTATCTTTGTGCATCTATCCATGCCAGCACCTTACAGTGACAGAATGAATAAATGATCTTCTATCAGATGGCAAAAAGTATGAAATTGACAAATGTATCCTCTATCTGTGACGATTTTGTTTGGTGGTGTGCCATGCGATACCCCACCCCCACTTAAAAAAATGTGCCTTGGCTCAATAAAGTTGGGAATCACTCCGTTAAGGTACTATTCATCCATACACATGGTAATCTGTGTAGTAAGTAAATTTTTCATACAACAAAGTCAGACTCGCATATCATACTTGAGAACAAAGCTAATTATTGCCAATATTATTATTAAAGGCTGTGCGATATGGCTAAAATGTAATATATTTAATATGGTAATGATATTACTGTTGGCTCAGGGAAAACTGCAAAACTAAATTATCAGTCCAAAAGGATGTGGGATGTGTAATTTCTTTTAATTTTTTTTTTTTTTTAAGAAATTACTGGCAGCCATCAACGTAAACAAAGTGAGGAATAAATGAAAATAACCAAATATTGTGTCAATATGCAGAAGAATCTGGTCACCAGGAATAAAAAAATGGATACTTTCATATGCATTCGACTTCAGGCGCTACGACCCAAAATAAGAAAACGTCAGTGACCTTTGGTGATGGGTGAAATTCACATAAACAACTCAGATTGTCCAATTTGAGACGTCAGTGACCTTTGGTGATGGGTGAAATTCACATGAACAACTCAGATTGTCCAATTTGAGAAATGTTGCAAATGCGTCTTGTCTAATTATGTGTTCCCGCATTGGCAGTCAAAATACGCAGTTATCAAAATTAAAATGATAACCTTGATCTTTGAAAATAGATCCCTCCAGACACAATTTGAAGCAAAGTAGAGCAAGCTATCAGGCATTCCTCATGATGAATGTATTGAATAATCAAGCTCCACCATCTTAAATGAAACACAATTGGAAATAACAGAGCAAATGTTTTCCAGTTCCGTAAACCAAACTAAGCCAAGTTTTTGTGAGACGGACGCATGTTACAACACATATCTAAAAAAAATTTAACGATGATTGAGGCAGTGATTCGGACTCTGCCTCCGACGGATACGAAAAAGGACAAATAATGTGACGAACTAAAAAGGCAGCCATCAACATCAAGGTTATCATTCATTAATACCACTGAAAGTTTCTTATTTGAATTGTCGATACAAGAAAAGATACAATGAGACAATCTCTCAAATTGGACAATGTTTTTTATGTGTTTATTGTTTATATATATATATTTATGTGAATTTGACTTATCACAAAAGGGTGTTGTAACTTTCAAAGAAATACACTTTTGTTATGGATACATGGGCATGCATGACATACTTTGTGTTGGTCTGATAAAATTCTCTTTGCGTTTATTTAGGAAAAACTTGACAAATCTGTGGATAGCAACATTGCCTTGTTTGAGCCAAAAAATGACCCAAAACCACCTTCGATTGAGGCTGCAAAAACCCCTGGAAAAGGCAGTCCTCCAGGTATGCACACTATTTTCAGATTTGATGTTGTGTGTGTGCATGTGCGCGTGCGCAAGATGCTGTCCTGAATGCAGTCCTGCTGGAATGTTCTTGACAAAATTTTGAATACGAGAAAATTTAACTTTATTGTCCTGGAAGTAAATTTCAACAAGATGGCATCTCTGACATCGGTAAAAAATAAAAATCCATTCTTTAATTTTCAGTAATTTATTTTCAGGAATCTTTTTTTTTTAACTGGTGGTAGTTTTTTTTTTTTTTTAAACAATTTTTTATTGATTAGAATAATACTGCGGAGAGGAGTTCAGATTTTTTTTCTGCACGCTCAATTTCCTGTCACTGATGTCATGTTTTTCTTCAGACCACAAACTACTCAACTCAAATGTATTTATAGAGCACTTTATTTATTTATTATTTATTTATTATTATTATTATTAATTATTATTATAGAGCAAATTAGTTAACACTAATTCCATAACTTTTTATTGTACTATATATCAAATATCAAATGGAGAACCACTCTTTTTCGATTCTCTCCTCATGCTCAGTCATGGCCCACTCTTTTGATTTTTCTTAATTGGTCATGATTTCATATGAGTCTATCGGCATGTTTAACACGATTGTTTTCAAATTACAGGTTGCGGAATCCTTGTTTGTCCCCCAGCCTCCACATCAAGTCCAATGAGAACTGCTGCCCACACAGACAAGGACAAAATTGCTGATATTTCCAAACATAAAGATCACAATGAAGACAAGGAAATAGAAATGAACGTTGACCATTCCATTAACTCAACAGTTATTAATGATCTGTTTGATGGAGTTCTGGAACAGTCCGAGGACCAGGATGATGATGATGATGAGGAGGAAGACGCCTTGAATATGTCTTCCATGTCCCTTCTCACACCACTGGCAGAGACTGTTTCTGCTGTGGTCAAGAGTCCGGAGCGGATGATGGTATTCACAACATCATTTATGATCATAAACATTAGAAATGTTGTGTATGTGGATTTTTTTTTTTTTTTTTTGCTCCGATCACATCTCCCATAAAGACAGCAAATTCAGTCATTCATCTGTGCAGAGCTGAAAATCATAGTTGAAATGATTTGATTCATATATTAACACTATACCAGACCTGTGAATTGTTTCCGATTTTCCATATTTTGTTATAGAAATCATTGAATGCCAACTTGTCACGGTCGGAACGCTGATTGTTCTGGATATTAAAAAAAACAAACAAAAAAAAAAATCAGCACCCACCATTAGCACCTGTGCAGCGTTGAGCCACAAAGTACACATTTCATGAATGAAGAAGAACCGCGTGTCCATATTGAACAGTCGCCCAATCCATGAAACCACTGTCATCAGAGACAAAAAAATGAAAATACAGAACTGCAGTGTTATCCACACTATTTGATGAGCTGCTGGCACTTGGTGCTGAAGAGCAGCCTCATATTTTGAAAAACTGGAGACAGGATGGCACTCATACTGTAATTAAGCGGTTTCTTAATTTCAGTGGGGTAAAACCATACCGTAAAAAGGTTGCTGCTATTATTATTAACCTTTATTGTCTGAAAGCCACCTTCTCTTCTTTTTCTGCAGACGTCAACTCCAGCTAGTTCATTCATTGTGAAGAATAACACTCCAGACAAAGTTTGCCAACCCTCTACCTTCCAGAGACCCAATATAAGGAGTACTGCATCTGACGTGATTGATGAGAATCTCAAGTTACCTTACAGGTATGTTCAGGGTGTTCTCAGGTGATGACATCAGTGAACGGCATGCAATGAACTAGTTTTCACGGCAGCCTGAGGAATATGCCGTCACGTGATACAAGAAAGCATACCCGATTACCCGCTTTTCCATACCGATGGCCTTGCTTCGCCCCTGATGGTCGCCCTTCCTTTTTCAAGACCGGTTACAATAGAGAACCGCTTTTCAGAACATTCTTGGAGGTGGCTCTTAAAGCGATTGTCTCACACCGCATCGTCACTGTCCCTCTCATTGGCCGACAGCCATCTAGCAACGAACTCCACCTTTATGTGAGAATGCTGCCCGTCAGTCATAAAAATACAATATATACAATGAACACAAGTGTTTTACAACAATGCAATATTTACAGTTTCATATATACTGTGGGATGATTACAGTCATCGATGAAATAGTCAACGACTAAAATCAGTTGTGATATTAACTGAACCATAGATTTATTCCGATTATTTTTGGGGGGAACCGTTTAATCCCTAATGCAGGGGTCCCCAACCGCCGGTCCGCGGACCGGTACCGGTCCGCCGGGCATTTGGTACCGGGCCGCACAGAAAGAACTTGCCTTAATTCCGTTTTATTTATTTCGGAATACGAAATATGTTTTATTTTGAAAAACTACCGGATTCTCCGTTACATCCGTCTGTGTTACGCTTGACACACGTCAAGCCACGCTTCTCCTTCACGTGACCGATTACTTCAAAACAAAACGCGGGAGCTCGCAAAATGAGTAAAAAAAAAACTGCTGGAGATCGCAAATCACGGCGGCCTTAAAAGTACGTTCGAGACAACTGGATCAAAGTTATGCCTGAATACTCGGAGATGGCCACAATAGCACTGTTGCTATTTCCGACATCCTACCAGTGTGAGACGGGGGGTTTCTGCAGCAACGGCGACGAAAACAAAATTACGAAGTAGACTGGACATAAACCACACACTTGAGGTGTCATTGTCTCCTATTAGCCCGAGATGGGACCGTCTGGTTGCAGAAAATCTAGCTCGGTGCTGTGGTGAGTCGTCATTTTCATGCACTTTGAATTTGCGTTGTATCGTACTTTGAAGGCATTAAACATTGCCATAGCGATCGGAGTGTTGCGGCCAGATTAGACGCTCCTTGTGTTTATTATTATATTTCGAAAACGCCACAGTTTTCATGCAGCTCATACCATATTATTTTCTTGTATTATTTCCGCCACACCTTAATTGCCGGTCCCTGAAAATATTGTCTGACATAAACCGGTCTGTGGGGCAAAAAAGGTTGGGGGCCCCTGCCCTAATGTGTACACATCTGTTTTAGTGTTGATGCCTACAGGTCTACTCGAGTGAAGGAACACGAGAAACCCAGTGCTCAGGACGTGGTACTGAAAAAAGAGGTTTCTGACAAAGCAGAGGAACTCCGAGGCTCCAGCTTGCTTCGCGTCAAACAAAAGTTGAAGGTTTGAAAAAAAATGTTGAATTGCCTCAAAATATTTGGGCGAATTGTTTTGCCTCGACTTATTCCCATCATTCGTCTCTCTGTAGATTCTCACAAATGAGATGAACTTGCAGCAAACGGTCATCCACCAGGCCAGCCAAGCTCTCAACTGTTGCACAGATGAAGAACATGGGAAAGGTTCCCAGGTGGAGGCCGAGGCAGAGAGACTCTTGCTGGTAGCGAGTGAGTCAATGTTTTCATTTTCGTAAAAACACTTTACGTTATGCCGAATTTGACTGGCATTCATGTCTGATGAATGCAAACATGTTTTGATATGTATCAAAGTTTTCATATTCATCATTTTAATGGTCGTATTCATTTTGGGTGTAGGTTTATTGATCAAACCTGGACCTAGCCATGCTTAATCCAACTCTTAGACAAGTACATTGGTACCCCTAGTTACAAAATGAATATGTTCTGGAAGAAATTTCTTAACGAGAAAATGTTGTAAGTAGGGACACGTTTTCCATGTAAATGTCGTAATCCGTTCCAAGCCCCGCAAAATTCAGACATAAATATTTTATGAAGCATAAAAATGCTTCAAAATATGTAACCAATACATGTTACAATTAGATTATTGCACAATAAAGTTGTGCATAATGTTAAAAAAAAACAGGAGGGTGCTTGGTAATACAGTGAAACTCCTCTACAACAAAATCATGTTTGCAGCAAGAAATTTTTCACAACAGGGGGTTTTTCACTGTAGCAGATTTGATCTCAGATGTAAGCACACACACACACCCACACACACACACACACAAAGATGTGTACACGCACACACAAATGTATGTGTACTCTATTTTTATTCCAATAGTGCATAAGTGTGAGCATACACTTATTTGACACTTCATATTGTCAGTGTAGAAAGAAAAAAAGGGAAAGAAATTGCGAAATTTACGATCAGCATTCACTTTCACTTACATCATTTTCTTGGATAATGTCTTTTATTTTGCTTGCTCCGTCTTTCATTTTGATCACTTTTACCCTCTCTTCCAGCATCAGAGCTCTTCTTGCCTTAGCTGCTTGACATCCAAATGTCCATTTTGTAGCCATTTTAGCAATGCAACGTCCATCCTCGTCTGAATCTAACAATAACAAATACTTCCTGCCATGCACTAACTATGGCCATCGAGGACTACGAAGCGTCCCGTGGGTGTTTTTAGCATGGTAACAAGTAAAGCATTCGAGGAAACGTTCGTTTATTTGAATGTCCGTCAAACCATAAGCAATTTACTCTGAGCAGCTAATCGGATGCTACGGATCTAGCTTCAGTATCTGCACACATAGACAGTGAGGTCCCTCTTGGCCAATCGGAGGCCAGGATGATGCTCGGTAAGCCAATGGCAGAGCAGCCAAGAGTATGTTGAGTCCAGGAAACTCGCAGCTGTGACCGAAATAAACATCGTTCACCATGTAAACCAGTGTGGTGGTTGCTGTTGCCTTTTTTCGAACGAAGCAGTAGAGGTCGCTGTTGGATAAGACTTGGTTGTAGTGAATGTCTTTGCGAGGCTGGAGCAGAGAAAATGATTTCGTATAACGCAACAGGGGGGTTTTCGTCCTATGGGGGGCAGGAGAATGGGAATTATGTTAATGCATGAAGATTTTTTTCACATAAGGGGGTATTTTCGCCCATGTCGGTTTCGTTCTAGAGGAGTTTCACTGTAGCCAATGGCAGAGCAGCAAGCTATAAGTATAGGGGTGTTCACACGGCAACTTTTACTCCGGTGTAGCATCGGGGCTGCCCCCCGTAAAGCGTTCACACGTTATACCGGTGTAGCCCCTGAAAACAGCTTTTAAACCGGAGCAAATTTAACATTGCTCAGGAGGTGGTTTAAAAATTTACTCCGGAGTAAATGCTAGTTTGCGGGGCAGCACCGATATAAATATGGGACCTGTGAACGCTACAGGGGTAGACTTGCTTCGCGTGAGAAGAGTTGATTACATACGGGTATTGAATGCATTGCTTTCGTGCTCTGTTGTATTTCCGTCATCTTTCCTTTCTCTCTTCGCTCATCCTTTTACGGTGTCTGATTGACCACAGCGTTGATTTGTCTGGAGAAGTATAAACCATGGTTTTTCAATTTGTCACAAACAAGGCGGGGAAAAGGAAGTACACTTTACGCATGCGCATTTTTTATTTCCCTATTATTACTATCGTTTTGCACGGCTGCAGAAACTGTCGTGTGAACGCAAGTGGGGCTTCACCGTGGTTAACATGCTTCTGTTTAGTAAGCAGCTTTATATGTGTGAACGCTCCACAAGTTGCGTTCAGAAAACTCGGAGCTGCAACTAGCAACCCATACTGTATTTTTACCTTTCGTATCTTGAAATTTCTTTCGTAACTAGAGGCAATATTGTCTTGTTGAGGCGAAACAGAAAAATTAAGTAAAAACAAGAGTTTGTGGGTTTGTGAAAAAGAAATCACTGCCTACCTTTGTCGGGACCTGACGTGAAGGCATGGCACACTTTTGCAGGGTGTTAACTATCGTAGCTCATGTGTCCCGTTTTAAAATGCTTCTCTCGGCCCTCTAGATTGCCATTCTTTGTCAGTGCCGTGAAATGAACTGTGAATGAGAATAATAATAAAAGCTATAGCGCAACAGCTCTCATCGCAAGTTGCAATTCCAGACTGCTGACCGCTAACATGACCTGAGGTTAAAGGTGACCTGCTTTTCAATTTAATTTTTTAAATTCCTTTTTGTGAAAGTGAGACTGATTCGATGCTAAGGGTGCATGCAGTTTGCACTAACACAAAAATAGCTATCGGTCAATCGCAATTGAGATATTGGGCACCCCTGATCCACAACATCCGATTCATGAAAGGAAGCTAAAATTATATAGATAGCCTGGAAAGCCAAACCCACCGTTTGGCTTTCCAGGCTATCTATTACCATTGACTAATTCCTTACCACAAATGCTTTCCACAACCTCCACAAAAGTGCTTTTCGAATGTCACGTCCACTCTTCGCTGATTGGTTCATTCCACTGTTTCTTTGCTCAGATTTGCGCCGCCTCAGAAATGCACTTGATGCGACTGTGACCAGACTCAATCGCTAGTAAAGCGCTAAGTCTCGATTTCCAGGCTAAGAAATATAAGAGCACTTTACTCATTGTATTTATGTATTTTGTTTCCCTGCCCTAGCTGAAAAGAGGGAGGCCCTCAAGACAGAGCTGCAGCGTCTGAAGGGTGAGGGCCCAGCGGGCCAGAAAAAAACCCCGTTGGTTTCTAAGCCCACCGGCATCTCAGCCTCCAGGGGCTCCATCTGTCTTCAAGAGATACGATTGCCTCTTAAGGCAGACTTTGTTTGCGCGACTGCCAACAAGCCAGGTAGAGTTGAAGTGGATTAACAAATGATCATAACTGTATTTTTTTTTAAACAGACATTTTCTTGACGTAATACCACTTATATCTCAGAATCAATGAAACATTCCTTCTTCGTCATGATTCGGGCTGGAGCTGAAAACACAGTGGCCACTCCCCTCTCAAGCACACACTGTGGGCTCAGTGGGGATACGCTAACCTTCCCGACAAAGTTCACCTTGTAAGACGCACAAACTCACGACTCTAAATGTGAAGCATGTGACTTTTTTCATTTAAGTCTATAATGGGTTGTTTTTTTTTTTGTTTTTTTTTTAAATTCTGTATTTATTTTCACAAACTAAATTGAATGGTTGCATTGGAAAATATAACAAGCAGAAGGCTGATTGTTCCTCTTTCTCTGTACTTTCAGATCTGATGTCTCCAGCGAGTTTGCGATTGACATTGAAGTATATTGTCTTGTGAGTATTTGAAAAAAAATTGATTGAACAATATCAGCATCTTTGACCCTGCATGCCCCCTTTTCATAAAAAAAGTAATTGTAAACTAAGTCGTACCACAAAGTTCACACATTGCAACTCGAGCCTAAACAAAATGGTCCTTTCTAATTTCTCCGGCCATTTCAGAACCTTGACCCAACTTTTTAAATATCGTATTTTCTGCACTATAAAGTGCTTCTCCAGAGTATAAGGTTCACATTTAACGAATGGCCAATTTTAAAACTATTTTCATACATAGAATAGAAGCTAAAATAGTGGCTGCGGTTGCTCTATGCATCCACTAGATGGTGCTAAACTAAAGGGGATAAAATACAATACAGCTTTATTTATATCAGACCCTCACAACTGCTCTAACAGTGAAAACCGGTCACATAAACGGACATGGAACATAGAAATGCAAATGGCATTACAAAACAACAAATGAAAGACAAAAGTGATAAAGAAAATTGTTAAAATAAAAAGGCACACAAACCTCGTAAGCTCACATCCACAAGGGGCTAAATATCCCAAGAAGTCTTGCTTGTCTCCTTCCTTCATTTTGTCACTACCTTTAGGAAGAGTGCAAGACCGTGTTTTTTCTTGTACCAACCATTCTTTTTACATCCTCAGGTTCAAAAGCGTGAAATTAGTGGTGACAAGAAGAAGAAACCCAGCAAGTCAAAGGTATGTTAATTTTTGAGGGCAAGAATATTAACAGCACATCAAAATTTCCATCATTCTTATTTACAAGTGATGCTTGTCCAGATAAGTTGGAAGCCCGTGATTTGTGGATGTCAATATGAACCACTTATTTATCAACCCTTCCCAATTTTGGTGTGTGCGTCGAAGTTTACAAAGACATAGCAGAAATGCATCTGTTGGGGTTTTTTGGGGTCATTTTTCACAAATGGCTTTGGATGTGCTTTTGGAATTTTGTTGGAAAGTTCAATTTATCTGCCTTAATTTTCAGGCCATCACCCCAAAGAGATTTCTGGCTATCACGGTAAGCTTATGAAAGTCTTTTCTTCTTTCTGTTCTGTAGCTGAGCTGATATTTTATTTTTTAATAAACAAGTATGGACTCTTGTTATACCGAATAGGGTTTACAATTGGTTGTGACAAGGAGAGGAGGTCTCTTAATGCCATATGTCTAATCTCGCTTACCCAGGCACTTTAGCACTTATAGTATACTCGTTTTCCCACTGTGGGTTGCCAACCCGTGGCAAGTTCACATGACTGATATCGTCCGCATTTTGGTGTTAATATCTTCCGAATGTTCATTTCTCTATTTTAATACGATAAAAGATATAATGCCCAGCCCTAATATACATAGATATAAAATTAAGTTGTTGCATCTTTCAATAGGCGTGTTTTGTTGTCCAAAAATTACAGTATTTATTCCAACCTTTTCTGTGCTAACTTTCCTAGTTGGCAAAAAGTATGATCGCTCGTAATAAAAATTTTAATTATTCGTGACAACACACAATCCTGTTTAGAAATGGAGTATTGAAAAAAGAAAATGTACTCACGTTGAGTAAAACGACCTCGAGGAAGTTAAAAATTGTACCTGTTTATTCTTTTTTCTTTTTTGGGGTGACTTCTTTTTCATGCCTTGCTCAGTGCCGCATGACTAACCTCAGAACAAACGCATACTAACCAGGTTTTATTGGAATTCATTATTTGTCGTGGTCACTTCTACGTTTTATGGTCTTTGTTGTTAGCTTGTACAATGCATTTTTTCGTTTAATCAACCAGCTCATGTTTAAATTTGTTTTTCAGAAAAGCGGTCAGACACCAGGTATGTCCAAAATCATTCTCATGCAAATGTCAACACTCGGCGTTAAAATGTGTTGGAGACCTGTCGTCATGACAATGCTAATTTTTATTATTTATTTTAACATGACCGGAGAGCTCAACCAATATTTGAAAACCGTATTTTCCGCATTATAAGGCGCTTCGGAGTATAAGGCGCACCTTCAACAAATGGCCTATTTTAAAACTTTTCATACATAGGGCACACCGCATTATAAGGTGCCGAGAATAGAAGCTACAATCGTGTCTGCGGTTGTGTTATGCATCCACTAGATGGAGCTACTCTGAAGGGAGTACAGTACAATACAAAACAGTTTTATTGATATCAAGCAGGGGTGCCTATTACGTCGATCGCGATCGACCGGTAGATCACGGACTGGTCCCAAGTCGATCACGAGGGGTGTAGAGGAGAAAAAAAAAACAAACAAACAACCATTTGTGTGTCTTTGTGCATGTTAGTAATATATTTTTTGTGTTAATCTACACTGCTCCCTAATGATCCTATCAGTCTCATTTTCACAAAAAGTATTAAAAAAATAAAATGATATAAAGCAGGTAAATCTTTAACCTACGGTGGCGCGTGACCTGCGTCACCGGAAGTTGTTAGCGCTACTCAGCCGTCTGCAATTGCAGCTTGTGACCAGAGCTGTTGCGCTATATCATTTATCGTTAGAATTATTCTCATTCAGAGTTTGTTTCGTGTACAATTCACCGAGGGCATGGGCAAAGAATAGGAATCTAGAGGGCCGAGGGAAGCACTTTAAAATGGTACGTGTGAGCTACGATAGTTAATGGGCTGCAAAAGTGCGTAGCATGCCTCCGCGTCAGGCTGTTGCTCATCATGGCATGCCTGTGTATGTGCGTTTGCGATAATGGGTCGATCGCGGGAGGTTGGTTGATTGAAAAGTCGATCTTCGTTCCAAAAAGTTTGGACACCCCTGATATAGAGCTTTCACAGCCACTGCAGCTGTAAAAAGTGCTTCACAGAACAATTAAAATACTACATCCAAGAAGTCAGAATATTGATCCATATATAAGACGCATCAGATGATAATATTTTGAGAATATGGAATGCTTTTAGGTGCCCCTTGTAGTGCGGAAAATACGGTACTTTGAATCACTTTGAATCAATATGAAGTTATTCGCATTTTAAACACATTCTACAATATTGGGTATTTCACAAATGTCTAAATACTTTAGTTCTGTGATTTTTGAACTGCTCCTAGAATGAAGTGCATCGTGATTAAAATTGTAACTCTTTCTTTGAAGTTCTTGCAAGTCCAGGTGGCCCAAATGCTGTTCGTACCAGTAATTTTGTCCTGCTTGGATATCACCATCTCACTCTTTCTTCGATTGGGGAAAACAAGTTTCCTTTGGAGAAGGTAAAATGTTTTGCCTAACATACACTTTTATTCAGATGTCATATGTTTTTTTCTTGATTTCAAGTAGGTTTTTAGTTGGGGATGTTCGATCCCAAATTTTTTTTTTTTTTTTGCCAAACAGATACCAGTACAAGTACTGAACTCTTGAGTAGTCACCAATTTTAAATACTGATACCACTAGCACGTTTGAAACTGTTCATAAAATAGAAACAAAATTCAAAACAAAACATTGCCAGATAAATCAAAGATATCCCATTAAAGCATTTTCCTTAAAATTGCATGAAATTAATGGACATTTCCAGAATTCCCCCACCGACCCTCTTTACCATTTGTTCATAAGCTACATATTTTTTATAGAACACACAATAAAATGTTTTCAAATCAATTGACCCTTTTATGCACCCTGTCACCCGATAACATGATAAGCTGCCCACTAAATAATAAATCCACTTAACATTAAACAAACATTGAAAAGAAAATGTATTTGTACAACTTTCTTTCAAGAAGTTGAATACAACATTGCTTCAAGAGACGTTTAGCAATACCCTTTTCCCTTAGATTTGGCAATGCCAATTTGTCACCTTTAATTGAACTGTATGCTTGGCTCCAAAAAGCGTATTTATGATAAATATTGAAGCTTGGGGTAAAAATATTCACATGTGCACACACCGCTGGCTGGGTTCTGATATTGCTGTCAGCATTAAAAAAAAAAAAGTGGTATCAAACGTCTATATTATTATATATAGTGATCCCTCACTATATCGTGCTTCATTTATCGCGGCTTCAGTACATGACGTTTTTTTTTCCCCTTCCTTCCAAAGTACTGTTTTCAGAAAAAAAATGCAGAATGACTCAGACGTTTTGTACATGCGCGTACGCATGATTGGTTCCCGGCATGACGTCCACCAATGACAGGATGAGTGGCTTTATCCCGTGCCTCTCTCTGGCATACTTTCTTCTGTTGTGTTTGCTATGTGTGTGTGTGTGTGTGGGGGGGGGTGATTGGGCTTGTATGAAGACGCAGCACGTGTCTCTTCGCCTCCTCCCGATAAATACCGATTAATTGTCTTATCATAAACACATCGTCTGCGCGGGGATAGCTGGCCAAGAGCTAGCTGGAGGCTACACTGAGCGTAAAGTGAGAGTCGCATTCCACGCCACCAACACAAATCTCTTCCCCTCACTCACAAGGCAATGCTGATGTTAATTACTGTATAAGGTTTTATAATTAAAGATTAAAATAAATACGTGCGCTGCTGTAGTCTTTGTTTCAAATATGGAAAGCATAATCGCTGTTTACATATTTTAAACATGCCGGTACCCACATACACTTACACAAAAATTCCTTGGGGGGGGAGCCAACCCTCCTACGCGGTTTTCCACTTCTCGCAGCAGTGTCTCGGTCCCCATTCACCGCGATAAGTGAGGGATCACTGCATTTCACTCAACATGATCCAAATAAGGATTTGATTAATTGTCAGTGGTGTGCAGATTCTTTAGTTTGTGGTTAGGTTTTAACACTTCAACGCTTTTTGGAACCTCTCTGTACAGTTTTAAAGTGAGCTCATTGCAACACTTTTCATTGTTTTTCACCCTGCTCGTTTGCTTTTTGCCAACAGGTCCCATTCATGTCTCCTCTGGAAGGTCACATCTACCTCAGGATGCAGTGCCAAGTTGGTTCACAGGTGGAAGAGCGAGGTTTTCTGGTGAGTATAATTGCCCTGTGATGTACCAGATTATACCCGCCTACAGGCCAAAGTCGGCCGGGATAGCCTCCAGTTTACCCGTGAGCCTCATGAGGCTAAGCTGTATTGAGAAAATATCGCTTCTATATTTTCGGCAAATCATGCTCATGTTTATGGAACTGTGAATGCTTCCTCCAGACCATGTTTGAAGACGTTAGCGGTTTTGGAGCCTGGCACCGAAGATGGTGTGTCTTATCGGGATATTGTATCGCCTACTGGACTTATCCAGATGATGAAAAGAGAAAGGTAAATAAAGCTCATTTCACCAAAAAGCATATCCCTTTGCAAAGCAGGACTCTCTGCAGATTTTTGTCATTATTAGGGCCCGAGCAGCAACCGCTTCAAGGTTACTTATTGTTTCTGTAAAAAATTGATATTCTCCATGAATCCTATTTTGCAGGGCCTTAACATGAATGAAAACTCACCAAACTTTGCCCATATATCCGGTTTGACAAAAAAATGTGACATTTTAAAGTTGTCATCCAAAAAAAAAAAATGTAGCGCCCCCTACAGATGTTTTAATGGAAGCCTGTCTTGGTGCGTTTGAATTTAGTCTATGAAAATTGGGAGGCACATATCGAACCTTGGCATACAGAAAAAGTCCTGGTAGCCATATCCTAGAACAGGGATGTCAAACACATTTTTGGTGCGGGCCACTTTGGAGTTACGTCTTCGCTCGGATTTCCCGCTATGACAGCGAAACCTCAAAAATGTTGAATCATCTCATTGCATTATTAATGTACACAAATTCATGGATTACTAATTTTGAAATCACTCAAGTCAAATATAATAGTTTGTTCAGTTATTTTTCAAGTGAGTGTAAAAAGGGTGACAAAATGATGGCAGAATCTCAACATTATTTATTTCACATGAATAGTTCACATTTCGGTCCAGATTTTAGCAAGGATCGTATCATGCAAGTTGACGCACATGATTTGCGTTCGCCGGCCACATAAAATGATGTGGCGGGCTGAATCTGGCCCCCGGGCCATGACTTTGACACCTGTGCCCCACAATGCACAGGAAGTGAGCTATGAGTATTGGGATGTCCAATTTTGGCCCATTTTTGTGCATTCACAAGGGTCATACTTTTGCTTGCTTGTCCTAGAGCAGTGTTTAACAACCAGGGGTACGCATACTCACAGGGGTACGTGAGAACACTGCTGGGGGTACGTGGCGACATTTAACCCTTTCATGCACCCTATAACCTGATAACAGGATAAGCTGTCCACTGTAGTGACCGCTGTCCCCGAAAGGGGTAACGATTCCCATTAAATATTTCCCTGCGTGTCTCGTTAAAGTTCAGATGACTGATGAGAAGAAAGTAAAAGTGCTACAGTGGTTCTGGTTCTGGGATTGTGTTTAAAAAAAATCAGAAGAGTTGTAAATGACCCATATGAGGATAATGGGTTCGTAAAATGGATGGATAAATGTAATTGAAAATGTGGAAAAAGCAAAGTGCACCTTAGTTAAAACTCTGCCTTTCCGAGTTTCCCTGAGTCAAAAAATTTTTTTTCTCCCATTTTGCAATGCTATCAAAATCAGTTATCGAAACAGGAGTCATTGTTCATATATTCCCCAAATACAAAAAAAGCAAGCTCCATCCTCAAAGCTCCGCCAGAGGGGTCACACTTTGACTAAAGGGCAATACATTGAAACATGCTTGAACAATTGTTTGTCAGAATTGCTCTTTTTATTTGTTTTTCTTTTAATTTACTCGTGGTTTTTCACAGAACCCCATTGGCCGTATCAATCTCGCCAACTGCATCAGTAAGAGGGTGGAACCAGTCAACCGAGAGTTTTGTGCCAGACCAAACACATTCGAGCTTGTCACAGTCAGACCGCAGAGACAAGACGACAAAGAGACGCTAGTCAGTCAATGCCAGAACTCCATGTGTGTTACCAAGTAAGTACCGATTCTCAATCATGAATAGCAATGAAGTTGCATTGTTTACTCTTAAAACTCCTAGTGGTAGTGTCCTCCTAGTAATGTTTGGGCCACAAAGATGGGAGGGAGAAAAAAAATGAAATATAGGAGTCAAAAACTGTAAAATAATTAACTCATTCAGTACCAGTCAATTCTGGACCAAGTCTGAAAAGACGTTTAAAAACGTGTTTGGGAGTGAATGAGTTAACAATAACCAGTAAGGTTTTAAGATTTCGGCAATAATACTGACCTACATTAAGATGACAACTATTGTCCACTCACAGCGGACCCAAAGGTGTCATGATTACCGCATTTTCCGCACGATAAGGCGCTTCGGAGTATAAGGCGCACCTTGAATGAATGGCCGATTTTAAAACTTATTTCATGTATAGGGTGGCGCACCACATTATAAGGCGCATTGAATAGAAGCCTCAATAGTGGGTGCAGTTGCGTTATGCATCCACTAGATAGTTACACTAAAGGGAATACAATACAATACAGCTTTAGTTTCATCGCGCTTTCACAATCGCTTCAGCTGTAACAAAGCACTTTACAGAACATTTAAAATACTACGTCTAAGAAATCAGAATATTGAGCCACATAGAAGGTGCATCGGCTTTTGAGAAAATGTTATGCTTTTGGGTGCGCCTTATAGTGTGGGAAATCCGGTAATTTGTTGGAAAAAGTCAAAAAAATGAATTCTACGAAAAATGGAGCAATCCATCCTCTCAGAAATCATGTAATTAAACTGTTCTCAGGCTGCCAAAATATTGACCAAAAAAAGAATTCCTTTGAGAATAACTACATTTTACATACAGAAAGCAAAGTGCAATAAATATACAGTAAATAACTCAGAAAATTGCAAAATGAACATAAATGGGAACATCACTTCTACCGATGATGACAATGGGAAGAAGGGGATTTTTTTTTTTTTTCCTTCCCTCCCTTCGGCAGGATGGAACTGATGGTTGATGCAGCCTTTCCGGCGAGATTGGCCGATTTGTACGCCGGTTTTGTACTTCAATACAAGTTTTCTTGGAATGCCATCGTGTTTCTGGCCTTCTTTATCAAAGGCACTCTTTGGTCCCATTGTGGCTTATTTAGAGTCACAGTCACAAACGCTTGCCATGCTTTGTGTAGGTGATAGATTCCTCAAAGTCAACGCCCAAGTTTTGGTTCGTAAACTGAGTGGATCATTAAAAAAAGAAAAAAAAACGGGGGCATACAAAAACTGAAAAAAAAACCCAATCATGTTCATTATAGACAATGCCATCGTCAATATGAGCAGTTTAATATGATTTTACAAAAAATTTCAATGTGTTCCTTACACGGACTGACGGCCACTTGCCTTGTGATGCAGAAATTGGCTGAGCGCAGACACAAAGGACGAGCGGACGTTGTGGCTGTCAAAGCTGAACCAGATTTTGGTGGATTTGCGCATGTGGCAACCAGGAGCCTGTTCCAAGCCTCTGTAAAGAAAAACGTAATGTTGAACATGTTGAATGGTTCTTGTTTTATCTTATTACATAATATGCTGCAATAATTGTCTTGTGGTAATGTTCCTGACAAAATGTCCCCCCCAAAAAATGGAAATTCAGAAACATTTGGTGAATTTCTGTAGTTTGGCAGGTCTGTCTATTGCATCCTTTTTGTCAAGTTTTACTTTATCAGCTTTAAATGTTTCCTGAACTGTTCATGTTTTCTTCAGTTCTATGCACGGATTTTAAGCATGTTCTTGTTTGCGGTGTTTGTTTAATCATATTTTTTGTCTCCTACGGGGTGAGGGAGTTCTGGTTCATGCGACGACACTACCGATTTGACATTGATACATAAGAGTTTCGTCAGATTATAAAGTGGGCGTTGTTACTATTTGACTCCTTTTGTGATTCCTAAATCGCTGTAAAGAAAATCTGATTACTGAAAAAAGTTATTATTTTCCTTATGTTAAATATTAATATTGTACAGCAGATATGGATTTTTAGCAGGTTTGAAAAGAATACAAGGCCATTCTTTGGAGAGTTTATAGTGTGTAACAGACTTTATATTTGCTTCGTTACTATATTCAAATTTTCTATTGTCATTAAGTGCTTTTTTTTTTTTTTAAATTAGTACAGCAATTTTTATTTTTTTTTAAACTCTGGTTAGAATTACAGTAACCACACCCCAACCCCATGGTGCAATAAGGTCCAGATCCCCGCTGCAGTAAATGAAATCCCCGATATAGAATTGCCCCAAACAATACATTAATACATGCATGACAGCATTTATACCGCTTTTTTCTTTTTAAGGTTTTTAAAGATACTTTAAAATGCAACAAACACATTTAACACAGTGGGATGCAAAAATTGGCATGCCGTTTAAAAAAAGATACCATATCAATATATGAGGTAAAAAAAGAAGTTGCTAATTTCACCAATTTTACATCAGTGTACACCTACTTTGTCACATAATATACAGTACAGGATTCGAGGTGCAACGATTAATAGATGACTAATTGATTAATCGCTAATTAGTTTTGATACGCACTTTTAATATTCTCCATTAAAAGCACACAGTTATATTTGTGTATTTTTGCATTTTACCAGTTACTGAATCAGAATTCATTTGTTCAATTTCAATTAATGTCCTGTTTTTGAATAAAGGGATGGAAATTAAAACGTGTTTTTTTTTTAAATCTCATTCTGGAGGAAATCAAGACCTGGATGACATTAAATTTCTTGAATTTCAATGAAAAGAAGACAGAAGTGATGGTTTTTGGTCCCAGTGGCCCTTGTGCATCCCATCCTGCGGACTTGAGCCCCCTGGCTTCTTATCTTAAATCAACAGTCTCAAACTCTGGTCTTAAACTGGGCAGTGATTTTAAATGAGACTGGCAAACTGGTGCCGTTGTTAAATTCATGTCTTAGTCACATGTCTGCTGGATTACTGTAAGGCACTTTACTTTGGAATCAGACAGTCCTCCATGAAGCATCTCCAGTTGGTCCAGAATGCTGCTGCTCGCCTCTTGACTAGTACGCAAAAGAGGGAGCACATAACTCCCACTCAGGCATCCCTTCACCGGCTCCCGATACATTTCAGCGTTCTTTTTAAGATTTGAGGATTTGTTTTCAAATCTTTAAATGGTCTCGCCCCACCTTACCTCTCTGAACTCCTCCGCCTCTACGCACCTGCCCGGTGCTTCAGGTCTGTGGACCAGTCGCTCTGAGAAGTACCGAGAACTAAGCGGACGCTCAGAGGGGGTCGAGCCTTTTCCGTTGCTGTTCCCTCGCTTTGGAATGACTTCCCACTGAACGTTCGGCAAGCCCCCTCGCTCCCAGCACCCCTCCCTTCTGTCTTACCATGTGGGTTACTCTTTGTTTCGTGTCTAATCACGTGGTTGCCTTGATCAGCATTGTTTACTTCATGTGTTAGTGTGTGCACGCAAATGACGGCGGCCTTAAAAGTACGATCGAGACAACTGGATTAAAGTTTTGGCTGTGTGGGGGGGGGGGGGGGGGGTTCTGCAGCAACGGTGACGAAAACAAAATTACGAAGTAGACTGGACATAAACCACACACTTGAGGTGTCATTGTCTCCTATTACCCCGAGATGGGACCGTCTGGTTGCAGAAAATCAAGCTCAGGGCTGTGGTGAGTCGTCATTTTCATGCACTTTGAATTTGCGTTGTATCGTATTTTGAAGGCATTAAACATTACCATCGCGATCAGAGAGAGTGTTGCAGCCAGATTAGACGCTCCTTGTGTTTATTATTATATTTCGAAAACACCACAGTTTCCATGCAGCTCATACCATATTATTTTGTTGTATTATTTCCGCCACACCTTAAATGCCGGTCCCTGAAAATATTGTCTGACATAAACCGGTCCGTGGGGCAAAAAAGGTTGGGGACCCCTGCTTTAGAGGGTGTCAAAGTGAGGACCAACCAAAATCTCCTCACTTCGCAGAAATGTCCTCACTCTGTTGGTTAAAAACTCATGCCGGTCCTCACAATGTCGCGAGTACAAGAATGCGCGCTCTCCAGCAGTTTTATTACTCATTTTGCGAGCTCTGGAATTTTGTTTTTAGCGTAATCGGGCACGTGAAGGAGAAGCGCGGCTTGACGTGTGTCAAGCGTGACACAGACGGATGTAACGGAGAATCCGGTAGTTTTTCAAAATAAAACATCTGTCGTATTCCGAAATAAATAAAACGGAATTAAAGCAAGTTCTTTCTGTGCGGCCCGGCACCAAATGCCCTGCGGACCGGTACCGGTCCGCGGACCGGCGGTTGGGGACCCCTGCTCTAAAGCAACTCCTAAGTACGTATACAAAAAAGGTACCCTGTGCTTTTCCCCAAAGGTCCCCAGAATGGGTCCATGTTGAGAATTTTTCGCCACAAGTTCACACACTTTTTGCTCTCTACTGCAGCTACTGTCGAAATTCGGTATTGCACCAATTTTACACACTTTTTGCTCTCTACTGCAGCTACTGTCGAAATTCGGTATTGCACCAATTTTACACACTTTTTGCTCTCTACTGCAGCTACTGTCGAAATTCGGTATTGCACCAATTTTACACACTTTTTGCTCTCTACTGCAGCCACTGTCAAAATTCGGTACTGGACCAGAATTATAAATGACAAATCCCCTTTGCTGCTCGATGAAGAGCCACAGTTATAAATAAATTATTACCGTTTTAAATAAATAATTAGGGTTTTTCAAAGACCTTTACAAATTATGTGAATTTGATCTTTTTTTTATTGTGAGGAATGTATTTGATGGAATGTGTTCTGAATTTGTGTTAGAGTCCTATTATTTCCATGGGATTTGGTTAAATGTATCAGATTAAAATCTGAAATGTAATTAATAATAACAATAACCAAATTAAGTAAAGCCTGAGTCCTACCCAAAATCCACCATCACATTTGCGAAACTTTAATTGTATTAAATAGAATGCAATAAAGGGACATTGCATTTTTTTCGTCTACATTACATTTTATATTGTCTAGATCCAAAAGTACTGTACTTAGACAAGTAGAAAAATGTATTAGATCACAAAAGAGAGGCTAGAGACTCGTAAAAGCCACTTTTCAGCAGTTGCTTTTGTTGAGGCACAAATAAACATTGCACTTAGCACAATTTTAGATTGTCTGACCCTTACATTTGGACAAAGAACATAGCACTTTAAAAACGATCTGACATTTGTATCTGTTCAATGTGTACACATAGTTACATCCATTAGTGTCACAAACAACCTGAAACTTGACAAACAACTGCTCGCTTTGCATAGGGGAATGCTGAACAAATTTTTAGCTGTGCAAAAAAATGAGACCCAGAAAATACATTTCTAAAACAACAGCCTGGTATAGTAATGCTTACAGATAGAATGGGAGTTTATTAATAAAATTCACCACTGACAAGACGCTGCAGGCGACACTGAGACCGTTTCGTTCCGGAAGACCAAATATGTCCACACAAATGTCTGAAACTTATATACTGTGGAATATTGCACGTTTCAAGTATGCCTATTCTAATCAGAATTTTAAAATGTCATCGTAAAGGTGTTTTAGTCGACATTTCTTTATTTAAATAATATTTTCATGACTGCTTTCATTTTAATAACCTTTACATGAGCTAATACAGCTATATGAGGTATTGATCGCCAGCACCAAGGCTAGAGTAGAGTACAAATGACCAATGCAATGCAATGTGTTGCTATAGAAAGTACCCGTATGTTGGGGTCAGAGGCGATTGCTCTAAGACTGCAAGGGAAGCTCAGCTTCCCCTAAAATGTCAAAAGATAAGTGATCAAATACATGTGTGTACATACAATTGTGTGTACGTGTCATTGACTAAATATGCGCTACAACACGCTCAACTTTTGTTCCGAATCAGCTTTTTATTACTAGTTACGACGCAACACTCTTCTCATTCATTCCCTCAGCTTCACTGTGCTTTCAACTGTGTGGGCGCTGAGCTTCGACAGCTCGGACGCTGGGCGTCGAAAGAGTTCATGGTAGGTTGTCCCAATGCATTGAAACAAGACGAGTCATTGGATAAATGCTGGTTTTGTCCCGCCCATCGGACCGCTCAGCGTCTCTGGGAGTCTATGGACAGTGGGCGTTTATGGGCTGGCTCAGACGCTGATTTTTTTTTTCTGCATGATGATTGGATGATCTGTCTGAGGCGGAATCTCATTATGATTGACAGCAAAATTAGCCAATCACCGATCTTTTGTTGTCGGCATTCGTAGGCGCATTTTTCAATTCTCATTCTGTTCTGAGTTGAACTGGAGACTTCTAATCATCTTAGCGACACTCTCTTTGTTGGAAAACGACTAGCGACAGGTTAATATTTTATTTCTGGTGGGTTTTATTGTAGTTGCTTGTGTTTGCAGACTGACTTGCCTGTATATCACCACAGTTAAGACCCTGGAAAAGACACCTTGTTGGTATGACAGGGCCAAAGATCATTTTCTTGAAAATGAACGGGGAGTAGAATTCACGTATAAATAAACAGACACATTTTATGATGTAGCCCGAAATTGAGCTTCCCCTTCTTGACAGACCAGCATCCGCCACTGGTTGGGGTCATACAAATACATTTTTTCTAAGACACAAGTGAGATCATAATTTGTACAGGAACGAAACTTTTTTTTTTCTAATGGCCACCGATTCCCGAAAGATACTCTGGAGCCCAAGCCTCTGTTTCTGTTATCGCGACAATGACAAATTTGGTGTCAGTGTGTACATTTTTGGGGTCAAGAATGCCAATAAAATAGGCTTCACATTTTTTACACCAACAGTTTTTTTCCTGAGCATAGCAATTGGGGCGTAAATCAGCATGTTTCACATTGAAAAAGGTGTGAAGGAAACATTCGAATTTTCCACTAGATTCGAAACTAATCAGTTGTTATTCATACAATGTAGCATGACGACCAGTAAAGAGTAGACTTCGTACATCAGTTCCCACAACAGTAAATCGCATCCGACTCTGGGCTACGTTCTTGTAACCCTCAATTCTGGCTCCGGCCTTCCTGTGTGGAGTTTTCATATTCTCCCCGTGCCTGCGTGGGTTTTCTCCGGGTCCTCCGGTTTCCTCCCACATTCCAAAAACAATGCATGGCAGGCTGATTGAACACCCAAAATTGTCCCGAGGTGTGAGTGTGAGCGTGGATGGTTGTTCATCTGTGTGTGCCCTCAGATTGGCTGGCAACGGGTTCAGGGTGTCAGGCGGGCTGGAAATATAGGTTGTTATTTCAGTATGATTGTATTACTACATTGACAAACCACAACTTTAGCCCCTCTGACAGTTTAAGGGTATATTAGTTTCAATGGCAGCAATGTTAAATGGTGGATGCAGAGGGAGCCAGTCCACTTCTCAAAGCGAAGTTGTAGTCTTGGAAGTAGGAAAAATGGACAAGCATAAATATGGAACAGCTTTGACAATATACCAAACAGTAATAACTGAAGCAGAACATTGCATAAACAGTACGGGTGTTTTAAGTTGTTTCACTTTCTTGAATAGATAAATTAAGAACTAAAGGAGTTTGAAGTGTTATTAGTTTTTATACTTTAGATGGTTTTAGAATTTGTGTGAATTTCTAATGATGTTTGATATGAAACGTTAAAGTGAGAAGACCGTGAAAGGGTTAATCAAGTTTTAAATTGGGTTTTCACTCTACAGTTGCTCCTGTGACCCCCCCCCCTCCCTCTCTCTCCCCTCGCATCAATTAGGAAAACAATTTGAAATCAAAGCCGGAGGAGCGCGGTTCAGTGTTCACGTGATAGATTTTGGCGCGCGTATCGGACTTACCCTTCTGCACACGGACAACCCACACCAGTTGGCTTTTTAAGATGGAGAGACGACTAACAAGATCCGCCCTTGCCCGGGAGCACCAAAAACAACGTGCTGAACGTTCTGACAATGCCCAGGTAAGTCATCGTTTTTCTTTGTCGTGAGGCGGCCACCCGCGAATGCGAGCGTCCAGTTTTTCGTCGGAACAATCTACGTACTGAGCACCGACGGACTTGTCACTCACGGCAGGCTAGGTGTCCGTTAGCAATGGGCCGGAAACCGATTTTAATTTAAATCTGCTTTATGTAGACGAATGAAATATAATGACCATGACCGTGTGGATGTAGTTAATGAAAGCAGTGATGGGAGTTTTTCATCAACAAAGGTTTTTTTCAACACGAAGAAACGATGGCGAACCAAAAACAACGCAGCAATTTAGCAACCTTGCGCACGTGGCCTCCGCTCGGGTGGTTACGGCCTTGTCGCGTTGTATTGTTTCTGTGGTTTGTATTTCGGCAAAAATAATAATAAGAAAATTGTTAGTTTACCTAGCGAATTGAAATGAGTAGACAAATGAACCAGTGCTATTGCTAACTATATTATACGAAACTCGGCTGGTTTAGTCGAGTCATAAACCATTTTCTCGAGAAAAATGTTTTATTTTCTTTTATTAAATAACGAAAGAATGAGGCGGATTGTAGGCCAACTCGAGTTGTCTTACTGTGTTTTTAATGACACTTGGTTAGCTTCACAGACCATCCGAAGCGTGTATCCGACATGAGTTTTATCATCACAGGTTCAAAAACTACTCCGTACCAATTTAGTTATTGCTATAATATTTTTACTTTGTTTACAATTTCTTGCAGCCAGGCATGAGTTGGAAATAAGCCATTTGTTCCACATTAAATACCTTCTAAAGTAATTTCTGTGCATTTGTAAATACATGAAATATGTTGGAAGTAGTGTTAATTTTAATCAGCCATTTGGGGTCAGTTTTTAGCCCAATTTCCATCACGGTTATATTTTTAAATCATATGTAGTCAGCCTCATTCCGTTTTACTTAGTCAACTTTTAGTCAGGACAATCATTTTCCCCATTAACATTTTTTTGTCAGTTAATAATATTGAACATTTCCATATTCATAGACATATTTCATGAATGAAAAGTTAGGTTAAAGTTGTTATGAATTGTGCGAATCATATCATTTTAGTTAGAGAGGCAACGTGGGACAGAGTCGCAAACACTGGACTCTGTTATCACTGGTATGTAAACTAACATATTTTTAAAGTCATCCCCTTCCATTTATTCCTTTCTCACTCTGTCTTTCTGTCCGCTACAGTGTGCGTGTCTTTATGTATCAGCATATTTTCTTTTTCTTTCATTTCAGTGTAAAAATATGTTTTCTAATTTCTGACTGTGAATAATTCAATAGGAAGAGGACATGCAGCCACCGCAACCAAAGGTCCGAAAAATGTCAAAAAGAGAAGATCAGATCCAGGGAGACGACAGGAAGCTCATGATGGTGGGTAATAAAAATCACATTAGTCGTCATCAGAATCAGAATCATCTTTATTGGCCAAGTATGTCGAACACGCAAGGAATTTGTCTCCGGTATAACACGCTGCATTAGTATCATCATAAACAAGGACATGACAAATAGGTATGGAAGGACATTTCGTAATGTAAGTGAACCGTAGTGCGGTGGTACCACCCAGTGACAACTGCAGAGATGAAAGTCCTCCGGATTTTCCCGGAATTCCGGGTTTTTCAATTTTTTATGAAAATGTCTCCGGAGAATTGAGGAAAAATTGCATAATCCGGATATTAGTTGACAACATTGAACGAAGACGCGTTTGAGTTTGTTGTATTGCTTTCACGATATATTGAGGCACTAACACTAGTAACAGTAAAGAGATTTTTGTTTGTGTAATAACGACAGAAGGCATGATGGCGTTTGACTAATGGTTTAGTAGAACGAATGGCAACTCGCAACAACAGTAGCAAGCGTCATTTTGCCTCTTGGGTTATACCATCTCAACTAGAACGTGGGGGATAGTCCCCAAACAATTTTCGTCTCTTTATAAACACACCCGCTAAACCCCAGTGGAACGAATAAAAGACGCCGTCAACAAGACAGTTGTAGTAAAAAATATATTTGGCCAAAAAGGGAAAAACACAGATTGGCAGAAAATCGTGTCCGTCCGACATAGTGTCGTCTCGGCTAACTTAGCTTTGCTGTTGTCGTGTGTGACGTCATTTACGTCGGCGCTGATTGGTTGAAATCAAAAGACGCGTTTGCGTACATGTTCGCGCTGAAACCCGCACAGCAGAGAGCAGCGGACTATCTACTGCTGAGGCTCGCTTAGCTTGAGTGGAGTCGCCACAACAGTAATACCCTCGCCTCGCATTCTCATGGCCTCGCCATATCTTGGAGATTTCGAAATTTCGGCCCGAACGGAAGCCACAAAGGGTACACGTGTGCACACAAAAGGAAGATTAATCATTAAATGTCGAGTATTTGAATAGCGTTTTGTGTAAACTAATTCATGCTTGATCGGCCAAGTGCGCGCGCGCGCGTGCGTGCGTGCGTGCGTGCGTGCGTGTGTGTGTGTGTGTGTGTGTGTGCGTGCGTGTGCGTGTGTGTGTGTGTGTGTACACACACACACACGCACACATTTATTTATTTCTTTATTTATTTTTTCCGGAATTTTCAGAAAAGTCCACTTTCATCTCTGCAACTGTGAGACAATGTGCAAAGTATCAAGCAGAGCTAAAGTGATCAGTGGTAGAATACAATACTATGACAGTTTGTACAGTTGGTGTAGCAAATCATTGAACCATTTTAGAGTGACCAGTAGCAGTATATGTTGTACAAGAAGAGTGACTATGTCAGTGACTGTTTAGGGAGTTAATGGTTAGACTAGAGGGAAGAAGCTGTTTAAGTGTCTGCTGGATTTGGTCATAGCAAGAAGAGGGATGCCTGTATATGCTATAGCAGTGTTTTTCAAACCCTGTGCCTGGGCACACCGGTGTGCTGCGAGACATTGTCAGGTGTGCCGCGGTAAAACATCCAATTTGTATGCCTGTGAATCGCCCAGAAAGTAATCGTGTAGTACCCTCCCATACCGCTAGGGAGCAGCAACAGCTAGCCAATTGCCTTGTGTTTCGACCACTAGAGACAAGCGAATTTGTGCCGCATGAATGCAGGACGACAGTGAAACAATAAATATCAAGATTATAGAATACTTTTTTCTTTGTGTTCATTTGATTCCAATTCAAGCTGTTATAACGTCATTTTTCAATGTTAAAAACGATTATAGTAACAATAAAACACGTTCATTGTTAAAATAAGCGTTTTTTTTTTTTTTCCTCACATTTTCAGCTAGTGGTGTGCTAGTGGATTTTTTCAATGAAAGAAGTGTGCCTTGGCTCCAGAAAGGTTTGAAAAACACTGTGCTATAGCGCTAATGCTTGGAATTAATTTGGAAACCTTGAATCAAATGAATCATATTCAAATGTCAGACCTAATGTTGACCAAATGACCCACTTCTAAGTTGCCACAATTATCAGTTACACACCATTTGGTCCCAGTTTTGCCGTCCAGCCTCTGGCACCTTTAACAAGAACCCTTTTTTCTATAGTAACAGCACACAAAAGCACACACATACGCGCTGTATGTCAAGTTCTTTGGGGGGATGCTGCAGCAGCTTGACAAAACAGCTGCCTGTCACCATCCTCACATGTGTTCCATTCTGATACACATCTGTCTTGTGGATTAAAAGTAACGAACAATAATCAAAGACAGATGTCTTAATCAGAAAGGGAGTTAGTGATAAAATGCGATCGAAAACGTTTTAATACCGTTAAACCACAACTGATTACAGCTGCTTATTAATTGTGGCATGGTGATCGACTGGTTAGCATGTCGACCTCACAGTGCAGAGGGGCAGGGTTCGATTCCAGGTCCAGTCTTCCTATGTGGTGTTTGCTTATTTTTCCCACCTCATACCTGCGTGGGTTTTGTCCAGGTACTCCGGTTTCCTCCTACATTCCGAAAACATGCGTGGCGGGCTAATTGAACACTCTAAATTGTCCCGAGGTGTGAGTGTGAGCGCGGATGGTTGTTCGTCTCTGTGCCCTACAGTTGGCTGGCAACAAGTTTAGGGTGTCCCCCACCTACTGCCCGAAGACGGCTGGGATAGGCTCAGGTAATGTTCTTTGCGTGACTTGGATCATCTGTCACTGCACCATTGCTGTTTCTGAGATGTCAGGAATTTCATTTGAGTATATCATCTTGCAACAAGGCACCGACAGAAGGCCACAGAAGATGGAGTCAATTAAAGAAAGAAATTTTGACGCTGGTGATGACATGAGTGATGTTTCCAACAGTGAATATATACCGGTCATGTTTTTTGTCCGACTTGGATCCTCTTTCGCTGTAGTATTGGCATATTTCTGAGATGCATATGGAAGCACTTTGACTCTATCAAAACATTCTTTTATAGATGGAGGGGTGTGCCAGAAGAGAGTTAACAAGACAGTCAAGAAAAAAAAGAGAATGTTTGGAAGACATGGATTGGGTGAGTCTATCACATTGGCACAAGTGACATGTTATAGATGTGACATTAGTCAGATTTTTTTTCTTACTCTTAAGACAGGGGTGTCAAACTCATTTCACATTGTGGGCCACGTATGGCATCTGTCGATGTAAAGTGGGCCGGACCATTAAAATTCTACCATGCTCTGCTATAAATAACCAAAATAATGTCTTTCCTTTGTTTTGGTCTAAAGAAGCATAAGAACATTAGGAAAATGTTGAAATTTAATGAACATATCTTTTACAAAACATTTCATGAAGCACCTTAGATTTCCTTAGACAAATGTGCAATTGACTTTTATCATTCATATATATGCATTGCAACTGATCCCACTGACTCTACAAAGGCACAAAACTTTAACAAGTAATTGGTTTTGAAAAATATAGTCATGGATTTTAAGATTAAACAAGATTTATAAAGAAAGGAATTTTTAAATCATTTCCGCATGTGCATATAAAATCTAAATTGAATCCCTGCCTACACCTTACAAACTAAGGAGAGTGCTATTCAATGTGTAAAGAATAAAGTACCGTTTTGGCCTGAATATAAGACAGTGTTTTTTGCATTGAAATAAGACTGAAAAAGTGGGGATCATCTTATATTCGGGTTCTAGACATTATACCCATTCACGACGCTAGATGTCACCAGATATTGAAGCGAATGCTGAACTTGACTCCCCAGGCCAAAGTGAACCCCTGCCACGAAGAATAAAAATAAAAACAAAAAAAACAGCGGTAGCACGAAGAAGAAAAATACAAAATAGCGGTAAGAAGGAAAAGAGAACAAAATAATAGAAGAGATAACAGAAAATGGAGAAATGTAGCGACAACCTGGAGAAAAGTGGGTCGAAGATCGGCCAGGTTAACCGGCAGCTGAGGAGAAATTATTCAGATTCAGATTCAGGAAACTTTATTTATCCCCATGGGGTAATTGGACTTAACAGGCACGCTCTGCACAAGAAACATGAAAAACAATGACAAACATGGGATACAGTGCGAAGGGCCTGTCGGTCCTCGCCGTATGTACAGCGCCCCGAGATCTTAGTTGAGAAAGTAAACACTAGGGAAGGAGGGGGGAAAAAAAAAACATGCTCGAACTATCCTCTTCTGAGGATAATTTAAGTCTAGCAGAAAAAAATACCCGTTGCACATCAAAAGCATATGACATTTACAACAAGTCACAAGACATAACAATGAAGGCGTTGATGATGAAAATACAATAGGAGGCTTGGAAAGTTAGACACAGACAGCACGTAGACTGAGTCTGAGTGGCGAGCAAGGAGAGGGTGGGGGGAGGACAGGAGGACAAGAGCTGAGCAGAAAAGCGTCCGCCTTCGTCGAGAGCCAAGCAGAAATGATGTAATTTACATTTCAAAAACCAGACGCCATTCATTTACAAATGTGATTGCACTTTAGATTAGAATGAGGCAAAATAACATGCTTTCTCTCTCAAATATATTGTTATAATCATTTGTTTCAGATGTATTGTAATTATTTTCTGTATAAAAATTAATTTGGTGTTCAAAAAGTATTTTTTCAAACTTGAGTCTTGAAAAAGAGGGGGTCGTCTTATAATCAGGGCTGTCTTATATTCGGGCCAATACGGTATTCACATGTCTGATAGCGTCTGCTGTGTTGGGTCTGTCTCAGTGACAGACTGAAACGGCTGTTGTCTTCTTCTCTGATCAAAACAATGTTGCCTTCCACTCTGATCACAACACTGTGTCCCCTGGCGGATACTCCATGATTTGCACTTTATTAAAAATATTGTCCATGTCTTTTATGCATTTTTTCACTTTTAAATGATCCTGCGGGCCTGATCGAACCTCCTTGGGGGCCGGTTCCAGCTCGCTGCCCGTATTTTTGATACCCCTGCTCTAAGTCCTCATTGTTTTTTGTACGTTCCAATATTTCAGCAATTACAAATGTGTATCATCAAAGCATATTCACCCAAAGTATATTATTATTATTATTATTTACAGTCGATGACACATCTGTCACACATGACGAAGAACAACCGTCAACATCAGGAAGCTCTACCATACAAAAGAAGATTGCAACTCTTACACATGATGATGATGATGATGATGTTGAAGACAGAACTGAGTCAGAGCATCGTTGGCAGCCCAACTTGGGAACGACCCCTAAACGGTGTTGGGTGTGCAGTCAAGCTCCGAACAGTTCCCAGTCAACAACAGACAACTGGGTCTGCAGGTACAGTACCCGGGTCGCTGCGACTTTAGGAGCTGCTTTGGGGCCCAGTTGGAGGTCGCTCAACAACAACAACATCGTCAGCACAACTCAAAATCTCATTATCATTACCATTATACTAACATGCCAACTTTCTCAGATGCAGAGCACAAAAAGACGGCAAACAGATCTCTTGGGAAGAAGAAGACAGCAGTTAGAAAAGAACATCGTGAATTTGGTAAGATGAATTTCTGTTGAATAGATCCATATAACAACATAAGAGACTCAAACTGCACAAGTCACTCTGACTTGGAGATGGAAGGACTAGTGGTTAAAGTGGTGTTGCATACTCACTTGTAACATTGTGTTCAATTTCTATTGTATAGCAATTTCTGTTACAGGGTTATGTAATTTTGTTACAATAACACACTGATTGTAATTGAAGCCAATTTAAAAAAAAAAATCTGACCAAAGAGAGATACAGTAGAACTCCTCAACAATGAACTAATGTTTGCAGCCAGAAATTTTTCACAACAGGGGACTTTTCACTATAGCAAATTTTATCCCAAAGACACTTCAGATCACCAGCATAGAAAGGAAAAAAGGGAAAGAAATTGCAAAATTTACTATCAGCATTAATTTACATCAATTTCTTGCATGTCTTTTATTTTGCTTCCTCCATCTTTCCTCTTTATTACCGTATTTTCACGACCATATGGCGCATCGTATTGTTGGGCGCAGTCTCAGTAACGGGTGCTATTTCTGTATTTGACACATACACAAAACGCACTGTATTATTGGGCGCAGCCAGGCATGGTAAAACATACGCCAGCTTAAACATACAGCATGCATGCACGCACGCTAAAAACACGTTAGCTTGAAGCATACGGTAGCATGCTAAGACATACGGATACACGCTAAAAACACGTTTTTAAAAAGGCAACGGAAGCAAAACTGAGTTCGGTTGTACTTTATTTAGCCATCTTACAATGTACTCACGTTTTTCGATCAATCATCACCCAGAAATCCATCAAAGTCCTCATCTTCTGTATCTGAATTGAACAATTGTGCAAGTACCGGTAATCCATCAAAAACGCCGGGTTCCCTCTCGTTGTCAGAGTCACTCTCATTGCCATGTGGCTCCACAGAAATGATGCCGGCTTTGCCAAAAGCTCGAACAACAGTGCAAGCAGACATGTTCGTCCAAGCAGCCACAATCCATTCGCAAATAGTGGCGTAACTAGCTCGTTCTCCTGCTTCCTCCATTTGCGAACCATGGATTCGTTGACATTAAATTCCCTTGCGGCTGCTCGATTCCCATGTTCCTCTGCATAACCGATGGCTTGAAGTTTGAACTGAGCTTCTTCGTAAGCGTGTCTCTTTGTAGTATTCATTTTCGGGTGTTCTTAGAAACCAAAACCGAAGTTGTTTTGCAATAATGCACATACCCACACTATATACAGGTGCTGGTACCTGCTAGGATGCATGAAGATTTTTTCACATAAGGGGGTATTTTCGCCCATGCAGGTTTCGTTCTAGAGGAGTTTCACTGTACAAACAGCGTCTCGGCTCTCAGTCAGTCTTTGGAACTCGGCGCATACACAAGGCGCTCCGCCTTATAAGGCGTCCTGTCCATTTTGGAGAAAATTTAGGACTTTTAATGGCGCCTTATAGTCGTGAAAATACGGTACTTTTATCCTGTCTTCAAGTGTTAAAGCTTTTCTTTTCTTTACTCCTTGTGAAAAGCCTTGGTCTGCAAAGGTCCATTTTGTAGCCATTTTATACCAAGCAATCCAACGTTCTGACCATGTCTGAAACTACGAGTGATGACGTTTCTAACCACGTGCTATGCTAACAATAACTAATATTTCCTGTACTACTGCGCACGTGCAAGCCAATGTGGTGGTTGTTGTTGCCGTTTCTGAGCTAAGCAGTAGGAGTCGCTGTGGCAGGCTGAGGTTGGATTATTTTGCGGAAGGCTTGTTTTCGTTGTAGTGAACCTCATTGCAAGGCTCGGGTGGAGAAAAGGATTTCGTATTACGCAACAGGGGACTTTTCGTTGTAGGGGGAGCAGAAAAGTGGGAATGGCTTTCATGCATGAAGATTTTTTTCACACTAGGGATATTTTCGCACATGTAGGTTCCGTTGTAGAGGGAGTTTTACTACATGTAAGGTTTTTCAAATTAAATTCCAAGTATGTTTTGTTGTATTAATTTAAAAGAATATATTTAGACATACGTTCCATCCATCCATCCAGCCATCCATCCATTCATCCATTCTCATGAGGGTCACGTGCATATCCTAACTGACTTTGGGCAGAAGACGGATTATACTCCGAACTGGTCTCCAGCCTGTCGCCTGGCACACATAGAGACAAACCACCACTCACATCCACATTCGCACCATCACTGAGCAGGAACTGATCCCACACAAGTCAGGTGATTATATCACTCCACCACAGGTGTCAAAGTCAAGGCCCAGGGGCCATGTCTGGACCGCCACATCATTATGGGAATTGTGTTAATGCATGAAGATTTTTTCACATAAGGGGGTATTTTCGCCCATGCAGGTTTCGTTCTAGAGGAGTTTCACTGTACAAACAGCGTCTCGGCTCTCAGTCAGTCTTTGGAACTCGGCGCATACACAAGGCGCTCCGCCTTATAAGGCGTCCTGTCCATTTTGGAGAAAATTTAGGACTTTTAATGGCGCCTTATAGTCGTGAAAATACGGTACTTTTATCCTGTCTTCAAGTGTTAAAGCTTTTCTTTTCTTTACTCCTTGTGAAAAGCCTTGGTCTGCAAAGGTCCATTTTGTAGCCATTTTATACCAAGCAATCCAACGTTCTGACCATGTCTGAAACTACGAGTGATGACGTTTCTAACCACGTGCTATGCTAACAATAACTAATATTTCCTGTACTACTGCGCACGTGCAAGCCAATGTGGTGGTTGTTGTTGCCGTTTCTGAGCTAAGCAGTAGGAGTCGCTGTGGCAGGCTGAGGTTGGATTATTTTGCGGAAGGCTTGTTTTCGTTGTAGTGAACCTCATTGCAAGGCTCGGGTGGAGAAAAGGATTTCGTATTACGCAACAGGGGACTTTTCGTTGTAGGGGGAGCAGAAAAGTGGGAATGGCTTTCATGCATGAAGATTTTTTTCACACTAGGGATATTTTCGCACATGTAGGTTCCGTTGTAGAGGGAGTTTTACTACATGTAAGGTTTTTCAAATTAAATTCCAAGTATGTTTTGTTGTATTAATTTAAAAGAATATATTTAGACATACGTTCCATCCATCCATCCAGCCATCCATCCATTCATCCATTCTCATGAGGGTCACGTGCATATCCTAACTGACTTTGGGCAGAAGACGGATTATACTCCGAACTGGTCTCCAGCCTGTCGCCTGGCACACATAGAGACAAACCACCACTCACATCCACATTCGCACCATCACTGAGCAGGAACTGATCCCACACAAGTCAGGTGATTATATCACTCCACCACAGGTGTCAAAGTCAAGGCCCAGGGGCCATGTCTGGACCGCCACATCATTTTATGTGGCCTGCGAAAGCAAATGAAGCATGTCAAGTTCCATGAGCCTTGCTAAAGTCAGAACCAAAATTTCAAAATGTCATATGTTGTCCACAATAACGATCATTATTTTTTACTTCTGATTTTAAAAGTAGTTGTCCATCAATTTGTTATGTGCAGTGTATGTAATATATGGAGGTGATTACATATGTACTGTATATGTTTTCCAAAATTCATAACGGCCCTCCAAGGGAAACCATAACTACAATGTGGCCCGTGACAAAAATGAGTTTGACACCCCTGCACGACACCATCAGCGACTAGAGGCTACATATATGACATTTGGCATTTGAATGAATTGTAAAATAATGCATTTCAATGCAAACAAGGAAAACAGGTCATGCAATGAGAGGGCACACATTATTAGATCATTTTCACCACATATGTTGCTCTGAAATCACCACAGTGTTCAGGCTTTGTAGCTTATCAACATGAATGTCAACAGTGCCGCTGGATCATTTGCATAGATCACTCGTGGTTTCTCTAACACACATTCACAGTCAGACTATTTGGCCATTTAAGCGGCTGTTTTTAGCGACTTACTAAGTCTGCTTTTTCTGTATGTGCTTCGCAATAGAAGCCTTCATCTGGTTCACAGATCCATCCATCCATTTCTAATCTTCTTATCCTTACAATAGTCCCGGGCATGCTGGAACCTATCCTAGCCGTCATTGGGCAGTCGTTAGAGTTCACCCTTAACCGGTTGCCACCCAATCGGGGGCCCACATAGACAAACAAGACTTTAAAGACGGAAACTTGGCAAAAAACATTCATTTAAAGGATATTGAACATTTGAAAATAGTGTGAAGAGCATAACACTCATGAATCATACCTTGAGTGAAATTGCTGTTCAGTGGTTTTTAAGTCAACAAAGTTGCTTTAAGGTAGATGTTAGGCATCATGTTTTATAAGTAGTGAATCAATGCATTTTTGATACTTTTTATTCTGTTCCCTGTTATCAGTCAAGGCAGCGTTCAGATGGTAATACAACTTCAAGAATGTGTCATGTTTTGGTTTGTTACCAACAGGTGGCACTGTAGGGCTCTCCCTGCAGCTGCACACCTGTTGGTCGTTCAATAATTATTGCTTTAAAAGGACTCCCAGCACGACCACTCGGTGTCGGGTCATTGTTTCTTTGATGCTGTTATTCTTGTTCCTGTCATGTTTTTGGTCAAGTTTCTGTTATTGAGAGCTTTTAGCTTCTGCCGTGGTTTTTGTTTGCTACTTTGGATTCGTTTTGTTCTTAGGACTTTGTTTTGGATTTAGTTTTCTGTGTTTTAGCAATACACTTCAAGTACACCCTGCTCCTCCCTCCTGCCTGCGTTTTGGGGTCCACCACCACCTCGCAACGTCACAGAATTTTTGTTTATATTCAACTAAACCGCTAATAAACCCCTTTTGTTTTTTTTTTCTCCAGAAATGGAAACCAACAAAACAAAGGAAGAGACCCCGGACGCATAAGGAGAAAGCTGCAGTCAACCAACGTTAAAACAGTTTGAATTTAGAATTTTGAAACAAGCTTGAAGATGAGAGAGATGGACATTGAGGGAGAGACAAAGTGGGGGAGACGAAGTGGGGACAGAGATGAAGGGAGAGAAAGGGAATAGGAGGGATGGAGAGAGGGGAGAAAGGGATAGAGTTTGAAAGCACAGTTATTTTATAGCGTTTATGTTGGTTCATGTGTGAGGTTGTGGCGCAGCGAGTTTTGTTAGTAC